GCAGGGAAGGCGGACTGGGGACGGAGGTCAGCCTCCTGTTTCCATAGCAACCACTCAGAAGTGGGGATCCCAGGACGTAGATGCCTACTTCTGCCCAGCCAGAGATGAGATGCTGAGGACCAAGACGGGGACAGACAAGAGCAGGAGAGCAGGCCTCACCGTCTCCTGCATTTATGAGCCGGGGAGGGCGGCCCAGGAGCCCACAGTGGGACACCAGCTCCTCCTGCCGGGTCCCCATCGATTCCACTCAGGAAGGGAGGAATCTACCAAACGGCAGAAAAACCCGCTTCCTGCAGCCACCGCCGAGTGAGGACCAGGGCCCAGCGCCAGCCACGGCAGGAGCAGCTTCCCAGCACTCGGGTGCCTGCCTCAGTCTCCCCACCTGCAGCCCCAAAGGGAAAGCAGAGCTCTCCTGCCACAGGGTCAGCAAAGGGCCCAGGGCCAGTGTTAAACGGCCCATGCAGAGGAGGGACGAGAGAGGGCACAGCGCCCAGGGGCAGCGTCGTCACTGCAGACCCTCTGAGAGCAGGACGAGCCGCCACAGGCAGGAGCAGAGCCTGGGCTGCGGAGAATGTGGAGGGCTAGAAGGGTGGGGGCCACCACCAGCCTGTCTGGGGCCAGGTGCCCCAAGTCCAAGCAGTGCCAGGACAGCGCACCCCATCTGCTGTGCACAAACCCCAACGCCAGACACAACGAGTCTTTTCTTCTCAGTCTCCGAAAAGGAGCCCATAATGGTGCACAGCTGCCCAGATAAATTTGGGGTGATGACAGGTGCTGGAGAGGCAGCCTTGTTCCACCTGCCGGCTGCGGGGTGAGGCAGAGGACAGGGCACGGGGATGGTGCTACTGTCCCGAACGCTGCTGGGACAGGACAGCCGGGGAATGGGGAGATCACTGTCCCCAGATGCTCACCCGCTTGACCTGCTGACCTCTGACCCCCTCCCAGACTCAGCCACTCAGGTGCGGGGCCATGTCACGGGCACAGGGCCAGGCTCACGAGGGACAGGATGGGTCAGCCTTAAGGAAGCACTAGACTTCACCCCCTGTACCCCAGGAGCTGGGGGACACCAAAGGACCCCTCCCTGGCCTCACTGCTCAGGGAGACCCCCATCTCTAGAGTGCAGGCTCCCTGGGGCACCCACCAAGGGCCACAAGCCTGAGGCCTAAAACCGGAGCTCAAGCCTCTGGTTCCGGAGGCACCAGACAATCCGGAGGCAGAAGTACAACACTGGTCTCAGGAGAGCATCGAGCGGTCCCTGCCTCTCCCAGGTTCCACCCCGCCTGCACCCCCGGGCCCACAGCTACACAGCCCCAGCGTCTGTGTCCATCACATCGCCTCTGCCTGGCCTGACTGCCTAGCTCTGCTAGAGTCTCGAGTTGTGGTCACACCTGCGAAAAGCCATCCCTAGAAACCCTTTTCCCATCTCACGTGCAGAGTTCAGGGGCCAGGAGGCTGACGTATCTTTCAGGGGCCACCACTCAGCCCACCCCAGCACCCCGCTGCACAGTGCACAGGCTCACAGCCACCCCCCGAGGCAGGGCAGCCTTCCCAGCCTGCACAGGGGCTCTGAGGACATTGCTGCCTAAGGCTGCCCGGCTGGTGGACATGTCCTTCATGGCCTTGACCCACAGAGCTGGGGCCATGCTGTGGCTTCAGCCAACTGTACCTTCTCCCCACAAGCATTCAGAGCCATCGGACCCCAGTCAGGATCCCCCAGTCTGCAGGGTGGGCTCTGGCCCACCTTCCCCACACACCTGGGATGCCGCATCCCCTCTACTATCCATGACTGACACCCCATCCAGCCCAGAGGAGACCCAGTGAGTCTCCACCTCATCGGCCTCCGCAAAGCACAACTGGGGCTTTAATAGCAAAGCAGCTCCCCGTTCAAGGTGCAGGGGCTGGGAAATGGTCAGTTCTTTAACGGAGCCCTGGGCTCCTGTCTGGCCTTAAGCCGGGGGGTCCTCAGGGCTGTGGCTTGGTGTGTGGCTTTTCAAAAAGGAAGGCATTTGGCAAAACCAAACCTTTTGCTAATTAGTAACCGTCAGAAACTTTTTTCAGTGCCAGGGCTGAACCACTGAGCTAGCCCTTTCTCATTTTTCACTTGGAAACAAGGTCTTGCTAAGTTGCCCAGGTGAGACCCTAACTTGCAGTCCTCCTGCCTCAGCCTCTCTGAGTGCTGGGATTACAGCTGCGCATCGTGTCCGGCTCAGAAACACATTCAGAAGAAAATCCCAGCTGATGTCTTCTGAGAGCGGCAGGCAGAGATCCCAGAACGCTCAGTGCCAGTGGAAATCTCACGTGGAGGAAGAGGGAACCTGAAGACCCGGGGTGCCCAGCGGGGCTGCCAGGAGGTCCCCGTCCCCGAGCTCACAGCAGGGCAAGTAAATTGCCAGGGACCCCGGCCCGGGCTGCAGACCTCAGCCAAGCTCCTGACAGACCAGGGTTCAGACTGGGAGAAGGCAGGGGTGCGAAGAGCAAGACTGCGTGAAGGAGGCCATGGCCCATCTCCTTTGTCTCCAGACTCCACTGCCCGGTCCCCCGCTCCTGCGTGCAAGGGTCTCAGCACACCTGGCTGCCGGAGCCTGCACACCAGACAGGGCTTGGCCCTTGCACAGCTCAGGAAGTGACCCCAAACCTGAGGGCCCTGGCTGACCCACACCCTGGGGCCTCAGCCGCACAGGTCCACATCCTGCATGCGGCTCGGTGGAAGCCTAGGGCAGGGGCGAGGAACCGCTCTGGTACAAGCTGCACATGGCTGTGGCCTGCAGGACGGCAATCCGCTGTCCTTCCCCCTTGGCCACCTGGAAACCCCTGCAGGGCCCCACCCATAATAAACCACAACTGTGATCCTGCTGCTTCCAGGCACCAAGGCCTCCGGGGTGGCACGGAGCGAGGGGTGGTCTCAGGAGCCCCCCACACCATCACCACCGTAGAGACAAACTGCTGGGCCCCTCTCAGGCCCGTGCTGAGCTAGGGGTCCACCTGCCAGTTCTCTGAAGCCCAAGCGGCCGTGTCCCTCCCCATCTCAGAGATGGCACTAGGGAAGGCCCGAGGCTCACCAGGGCGAAGGGCACAGACCTGGGACTCAGTGTCCACTGTCTGGGCCCTTCACGCCCCACTGGGGAAAGCAGTGACCTTCCATCCACATCACGGCCTTGGGCCAGGACAGCAGCTGCCTCCAGCCCATCCACAGTGGGCGGTTTAGGAAGCAGCTGCGGGGGGGGGGCGGGGGGAGCTGCAGGGAGGGTGGGCGCCCACCCATCCTCGAGGGGCCTCCCTGCTACACAGTCAGCAGGACAGATTCAGGGCAGCTTTCTGCCACCCTGGCTTCTACCCTGGACTGCCACCTCGAGGGTGCTCTGCCACAGGACCTCATCCAGCGTCAGGCCAGCCACTGTCTCTGGACACCACCGGGTCACAACGATCTGCTGCAGGCCTGGGCGCCGGGCCACAGTCCAGCCTGGGGAGGACGTGCAAAGGGTGGAGGACAGAGCATGGCTCAGGGTTCATGCGTGGGCAAAAGCAGAGGCGGACTCTAGTGAGAACCACACTGCTGCTGCTGGGGCTGCTGCGTACAAAGGCAGGCAGACACGCGCACGTGGGAAGGGGCAGGAAGCACAAAGGTGTCATCTCGGGCCAGTGGAAGGAAGAACACACAGTCAGTCGTTTCCAGAGACAGAGCCACAGACCAGCCTCACATCCAGAAACATGTTTATCTTTCAGTTGCTTTTCTTCCCCCAATACTACACCTTTGCACTGAACGACATCCACAGGCCCAGCCCATTTTGTTTTTTAAATTTTAAGTCATGGTCTCCCTAAGACACCCAGGCTAGGCTTGAACTTGTGATCCTTCTGTCTAAGCCTCCCAGAGTTCTGGAATTATAGGCCTGCACCACCAGGCCTGGCTTCTTCTTTTTTTTTTTTAATTGGGCATTTTTAAGTGGTGCCTATGGCAACTCCGTAACAGCTAAAACCAGCCTGTGCCTGGGGCTGGGCTAGGGGCTGGGCAGTGAGCACGCTGGGCCATGGGGACAGGGCTGGTTACGCTGTCATTCTTTTATTTATTTATTTACTTACTTACTTACTTATTTATTTTTTTTGGTACCAGGGATCGAACTCAGGTCCTTGTGCTTTTGAGGCAGACTGTGGAACCACTGCGATAAATCCCCGGCCCTACGCTGTTATTCTTTACACCCTAAGCTTGCTATAAACATCCTTTGGACTGTTTAATATTTCATCGGAAAACATTTCCAAAGAGCCTATTCTATAATTGGCATTAAAAAAGAAAAATTTAGCTTAAAGAATTTCGTGTCTTCCAAGAACCAGGGGTGAAAGACGTCCGGAGGATCACCTCACTCTTTGCCCGCCAAACACCCTGGCACCTGGCTCTGGGACTCCACCTGCAGGCATGGCCAGTGTCCCCTAAGGGGACACCACAGTGGACATTGCCAGCACTCCGAGCCTTGTTCGCAGGCAGGAGGAGCCTCTCGGTGACCCCAGCTGCCCTGTGCTCTTGGAGAACCCCGGACACAGCAGGGGTGGGGAGCCCAGCCTCCCTCCTGCTGAATCCCACCTGCCAGATGGAGGCCAGGCCTCAGGGGCCACGGGACGTCCTGGGGGTGAACTCTTGCTCCCACGAGGGCAGCCCCTCTTGTGGGCTCGTGCGCAGCCTGCAGAGCCCGGCAGTGACAGCGCCCACGCCGGCACCCTACTTCCCAGCAGGCAATGGTCAGTGCCAGGACTGATTTGCTGATCTCACTCCCTACACTGAGGAGATTTTGCAGCCGTCAGTAATGTGCTAGAGGTTTCCCTGGTGTGTGCCGCAGGCCCCCTCCGCAGGCCTTCCGGCCGCCCACCCCTGGAGACACTAAAAGTTCGAGTGGTGGGTGGGGAGAGGTGATCTGCGGACAGCTGACACCTGTGCCGAGGTGCGAGGTGCGCAGGCAGCTGGCCAGCCCGGTGATCAAAGCCCCCCACCCGAGTGGAGCTCCGGGACTCACCTGATCCCTTTGTTCTGCGCGATGCTGTGTAGGGAGAGCCGAGACACCGCCGAGATGACCTGCAGAGACAAGAGACAGCGCCTGTGATTTCAGAGCCACCAGAAAGCCGGTCCAAAGCAGCGATCACATGTTTACTGAGGGCGTCGAGAATGGTTAACCACGCACATCCTGCGCAGGCAGGAGACAGCACAGTGCTCTGCAGGCATGACCCCGGTCTGTGCTGATTGTGCAGGAGATGGCGCGGCGGCTAACCCAGGAAAGGCTGCTCCGCCGGGCTGCGGCAGGTCCTGACACGGGTCACGCTGCCATTCTGGAAGTCACTGCCAGTAACAGCTTGGGCTCCGAGCAGGGTCCACCACTCAGCAATGGGGAACAGGAAGCCCAGAGGGTCGGGTGAGTGTCCAGGGCCCCCGAGCAGCTGGGGCACGCAGGGGCAGACACCCCCGAGCAGAACGCCTCACGCCTCTCTTCGAGTCCCACTCTGATGACTAAGCCACCGCCCGCTCCCAGGCACCATGAGGGGCCCGGCACAGCTCACCGCAGCGCCTCCCCAGGATGACGGACTCATCTGAACAAGCTCTGGGACCTTCAGAGCTGCTCCTTCCTCTGCCCCCAACCTGGTCCTACCCTGTGATCGGGCCGGCCGCCTCCGCACATGCACAGCCCCGTCTCCCAGCCTTGAAAGCCCCCAGCTATCCCACCGATCTTGAAATGGACAGGTGCGGAGCAGGCCTGCTGGGAAGGCAGAGATGACTATGGGGAAACTGAGGCAGGGGAGGAGGCAGCTGACCTGGGAGCACAGAGCATCACACAGGAGACAGAACCGGAAGCTGTGATGGGGGGGCGTGGTGCCAGCCATGCCCACGCTGCCCCAAGGATGCGGCCTGGACCTGGGGCCTGAAGCCCGGTGGGGAGTTCCCCAGGTGTGTGTGCTTGTGCGTGTGGCCACTTGTGCCTCCATGTGCACACGTGTGCTGCATGTGCATGTGCTGTGTGTGCGTGCATGCATGCACATGTGTGTGCAGGGAGGGATGGACAACAAGAAAACAACCCCAAAACCCCGGGGCCTCCCCAGTGCTGGCTCTCTGAGGAACAGACCCCGGGGTATTCAGGGGCAGCACGCCAGCAAGGTCCCTGCAAGCTTCCCTGCCAGCACCCTTGGTGGCAGAGACCCAGGCTGGGTGCTGGCACACAGCTGCCTGCGGGGCACAGTCCTCAGACTCTGCTCAGGCCGCTCTGTTTCCAGCAGGGACTCCCAAGCAGGAGGGGAAACACAGCAAGGAGAGGGGCCTCTCTCATGGGGGAGTGCACCATCCCCTGAGGGCTTTGTGTCGGGCCGAGGCTCACAGAAGTTATGAGCTCGGCAGCAACAGGGGCTTCTTGTGTCCCCAGACAAGACTCAAAGGGCTCATTATAAGGCCGGCCAGCCGCAGCTCCCAGCCACATGTGCTACAAGGCACCTTTCACAAATAAGGAGCACTGGGCCTTCGGTGTTATTTTTGGTTTTTAAGAGCTCCAAACATTTAGAAGGAATAAAAATTAAAGCAATACTGCTGGATGTCCTTACAGTTATTTGGTACTATGCTAGAAACGGGAGACATGAACAGTTGACAGGCACAGAGCACACAAGCCACCTCTCCTCATGCCTCCCATGGCAGACATCACTAATCAACTGCCACATCCCTCCCTGTGAGCCACTTGCAGGTGCAGGATCCCTGTCAGAGTCCTGAGTTGGCACCAGCCATTGTCAGCACTGTCCAGGAGATTCAGCCTGTGTGCTGACCCAGAGCCAGGGCAAAGCCCTCGTTCTCATAGAACCCAAGACAGGCAGCTGCGGCAGGTGCATGTGAGTCCCCGTTTCCCCATGACTGTAGCCCTGGGAACAGATGGGCTCTGCAGTCTCACTGAGCGGGCACCTGGACCCCAAGTGTGCAGCACCTTGTGTCAAGATGGCAGCTGTCACTAGCGCTTTGTGCAGAGCTCAGCTCTAGGGCCACAGCAGTGGCTGAGGGTGGCTGATTAAATGGGGTGAACCATGCCCAGAGAGCCAGACCCAGCAGTCAGTCTGGCTGGCTGTGTCTGAGGTGCCTGTCCCTGCATCCCCCTGGCTGTGAGCTCCGTTGGCTGGTGTCTGTGCAGAGGAAACCTCTCAGGAGCCACCCAGGAACCCACTCCAGGGACACAAAGCCCGGATCACGGATCAGATGGGGGGTGGGGGCAGCCCCCCAACACCCTCCACAGGAGGAGGAAGGCAGGGACTCTCCAAAGCCCCACTCCCAGGAAGAGCGCTGGGTGTCCCCAGGGCAGCCCACGGTAATGATCAAAAGCTGCCTGGCCCAGGCCCTGTGGACTCCTCTGAGAGCGAAAATGTCAGAGGATGACATTTTCCCAGCTTTTGTTTCTGCGTCCCAGGTAACACATGAATGAAAATGCATCCCTCTTCCCTCCCTCGCTCCCTGCTGGATACCCAGCTCCCCAGGGCTCAGCTGGGGCTGTTGGGGGAGGAGGCTGTGCCCCAGAGGACCTCCTAGGGAGCCCCTGCCTGCACCACCAGCTCCCTGCAGCCAAGCTCACTGTGCCAACCACCGACATCCACATAAGCAAGCCTGGTGCACACAACAGGAAGGAGGGGACAGGGCAGCCAGAGGACAGGGCGGTGTTGGGGTCTGAATCATGGATGGAGATCTTGGCTCTATTCCCATCCAGCCACAGATCCTCTGACCCCTGACCCTTGACCCCCAGGCCACAGCAGCCTACAAGCCCTCGCACCAAACAGGAGGAGCTGTGGAGAACAGACCCCTCCCCACTGTCTCCAGGGCTCTGGGGCCCTGGAATCTGTTTCCTGACAAGTCCCACGTGGCTGCGATGCCCACCTCCCCGGAAACTGGGTCATCAGGTAACACCACAAACTGGGCCAGTGACCAGCAGGGCTGGGACACCTGTGGCCACCCCAGAAAAGGGGCATGAAACAGCTCGGGGCTTCAGAGCTGGAGGAGAGTCAGGCAGAGCAGTCTTGAAGGACTTTGTGGTAAGGAGAGACACCAGAGGTTAGGAGCGCTGTCTCCAACGGAAGCCTCGACAAGCCTGGGCTTCCTGAGCCCGGCCACTGGGGTCTGCTGTCTCCCCCCAAGCAATGGACTGACAAGGCTTGTCCCGTAAGCCCCGAGCCAGGGGACCCCTCGGCCAGGCTCTGAGAGCTAGGCCCGCTATCCTATCTGGGGGAGGAGGTGGGAGGGCAGTGAGGGCCCACACGTGCCTCTGGGCAGCCTGACCCAGCAACCCTTCCACCTGGCTGTGACAGCTGGCCTCCCTGTCACAGGCTGAGCTGCTCGCCCATGACAGGAGCAGGCCCTGTTGGAAGGCGTTTGCCGCGGCAGCTCAGCCTGATGTAACTGCAAGCAGCAGGGCCCGGGAGCAGCCTCCCCACCAAGCAACTGCAGGGCAACGCTGCAGGGCCCTGGGGTGCTGAGCCCGCTGCTGTGGTTAAGCTCTCCCTGCTTATCCACTGGGCTGCAGAGCCCGGGTTTCTGGGGCTGCTCAGGCCTGGACACCAACTGCAAATCCGCGCAGAGCTGCAAAGGCTGACCTCATCTCCCGGGTGGCCAGCCTGCCCAGAAGAGGGTTTCAACACAGCCCCTGGGGCCGCACCTCCCAGCAGTGGAGACGCTCAGAGCGGGCCTGGCCCGGGGGACCATGGTGAGTCTTCGGTTCTCACACAGAGGCGGGGGCCACACCAGCCCCAAAGGTGCTCTCTGCAGCTCCCCAAATGTTTGACAACCCGGCAGCAACTTGATGCCCAGCACAGGATGCAAGGGAAATAAAACCAGCACACCCACAAGGGAATCCGCCTCGGGTAAAGGCACGCTCTGGAGGGAGCTCCCTGGTACAAAACACATTCATAAATATCTCAAGCGAAGAAAACTGGTTGTAAAACATGTATAGTAGACATGAAATGTTTAAAAATATGTGCTCTGGGGAAGAGCCTGGCAGGCTCCACACGACAGGCTGGCAGCCATCACCCCTGGGCAGGTGAGCCCTCACCCTCCTTGGCTGAGCCTGCTGGTGCCTACCAACACCCCATACTCCCAAGGGCCGGCCCTTCACAAAGTCGCCTGTCATGCAACATGTCACTCAAACCAAAGGGACCTGATTCTCGCCCTTGAGGTGGAAACACACGACCAGTCATGCCCACCACTCCCTGGAAGCCCCCAGAGCACACCATGGCAGGCTCCCCCCTCACAGTGAGGCAGCCAGGAGGCCAACAGGGACCCTCAGGCTTGAGAAATTGAGGGCTGCTCTGCGGGAGACTGACTGGGTTGAAATGCAGCAGTCCACGAAGCCATGCCTTTCAGCTTTTCGTTCCAAGTGCCTCCCATAAGGGAGTCACCTGGCCAATGTTGGCTGTGCCGGGAGGTGGACAGAGAAGGATATGAGTGGATGAGTGGGTGGACAGATGGATGGACAAATGGGTGGGTGGTGGATAAGCAGATGGATGGATGGATGGGTGGGTGGGTAAATGAATGGACAGACGGGATCAACAAAAGAGCTTCCGAAGGGAAACTGGCTCCTGATCCCTACTTCCCAATTACCACAACTTGAGCTACCACTTTCTGGCACTTACTACACGCCAAACTCCAGGACTAGCATGACATAAATGTGTCCTGTATATACCCTCCCCTCATCAAACGCAGACAGGGGACTAGAGTCAATGAGGACCTTGCCATGGGCCACTGAGCAGTAAGTGGCTGAGGGACAGAACTGCATGATCCAGCCCTGGGCTTCTATCTGCTGCACGCCATGCCCACAGGAGCTCGCTACTAGTGTCCAATTCTCCTCTTCCAGGCCAAGCTGGACTGTGTTTTCTAGCCTCTCTTTGGTTCCCGAGGTCCACCCAGCACATGGAAATGGACACGAAGGAGATCACCTGCAGGTCTGTGACACTTCCCCATCCCGAGGATGACCCAAAGCCCCACGTTAAGTGGCAAAACCACCATCAGCCTGGGTCCCCACAGGTGTGCATGGAGCAGAAGCTCTGCCACCCACCTGCCACCCCTCTGTG